TATTTTAGACTTTGAGTTAAATATTTATGGGGGGGAAATCTTAAATTCTAAAATACCGGATTACAAAAATCTGTTATGCAGCTTGGATTTTTAAATAATGAATCAGAAAAAGCTGCAATAATGATGTCAAGCTTGTCTTCTAGGATGTTTCCAGTCTATGCCCACGATCAGATTCACTGACTACAAACTCAGCAGTTCCTCGCTCACACACTGTTAACACTTCGTTAAGCAGCTTAGACACTGCGTCCGGACAGAGGTCCTCAGGCTGCCGGCAGGCATTTGTGAAAGCAATGTGTAGACTACCTGAGAAGCCCCTTACGTACACGTAAGAGAAACACATCCTGCAAAAGATTCCTACCACTGAACTTCAAGAGTAAAATAGAAAATGGTTCCAGCCTAATACTGCACTGTAACTTCTGAGCCAGAACAGACTGGTACTTGACCCACTGGGAGCTCAAACAGACAAATGCTATTCCTTGGTAATTCAAGTGCAGTTGTGTATAATCCTCTCTTCTTCTGCACGAGGGGATGTGAGGAGTCTCCTGAGACAACAGCTGTACGCTCTCATCTGCTTGGAAAAAGCAAGTCTTAGTTGGGCAACGACAGCTCCTGAGGCTTTGTGTTTCTTAACAGCTGACACCCTTCCAACAGTTCCTGGGTGGCTCCCGTGCCATTTCCCCATATTGCCACCTCAGAGAAGTCGTTTGGCCAGCCAAAGCTTGCCTGCTAATGAAGTACCACAAAGCTCTTTCTAGTCCACTGTCTGATTATTGGGTCTGTCAGACCCACCCATCCTGGATCTGGCAGGTTTTGAAATCTGATCATCAACACCGCGCTTTTGTGTGTCTTAATGTGACACCTGCTGGATTCAAGACATTGGATGAGAATGTCAATTTTCAGTAGCAATGAATAAAACCAAACAAATATGGTTTAGCTTCTCTTGTTGACAAAACTTAAAAATGTGATTCAGATGCTCCCTGGCAGTCCAGTAAATGGAGGGAAATAAAAACCAATTGACATCTATTTATTACTTTATTTAGATGTCAGGGCTAGTTATCTATCTACCTATCATCTATCTATTTATGTATTTGCAGGTTTTTGTAGCCTGACTCACAACTTTTGAATGCTTGAATCTGGTAGCAAGGAAAACCTCATTCTCCAGGTTCCTTGTGCAGATCAACCTCTCCCTCCACTTTCTTTGCTTCACGGACAAGGTACAAGTTCTGACTCTATCGTCATGCTGCAGAAGTCAGTATATTTTATTTTGCAGCTTCTCTGCAACTCTTGTTTTATGACTGCCTTCAGTCAGTCCAATATTTCGGATGTGGAGAACATCAATGATCCATCTGGAACATTGGGGAAATCCAGAAGAACCTGCTTCTCTTTCTGCCCTCCTACGCTCAAGTATTATAGCAGTGGCTTGCATCTTCAATTTGATACCGCATAGTGCAAACTGATAACTAATCTTGGGGAAAAAGAGTAAAGATCAAGACCAAATTATCACGCCTCCATTGTGTGTTAGTTAAGAGTAGGGTATGAGGCATAGCCACAATCATACCTTGCAAAATTAAATCTCTTTTAATCTGCAAACTCCACATTTCATCCACTCTGTTCACACCACAACCATTAAACTCTTACCTAAAACATAGAACAAAGTTTAGACTTATAATAGAAAAGACAGAAAACAGCAAATTTTATAATATACCACAAGCAAGACTCGAGAAAGCTGAAGACTTATTTTATCACCACATTTAACTTTGAGAACAGTAGCAATTTATTTTTAATGCTTCTTTTAAAGAAAAACTAACAAATATATGCTTCAGAGATGATAAAATTATTCATTTCTCTATGTTTTACTTTTCCTGTATAGGGCATTTCCAAGATTATGGATGATAACTATTAAAAATATATAAAATCAAATTAAATCTCAGTTACATTTAATTCTACCTTAGAAATAACTGAGAGGTTTCTGCAATTGCTCTGTATGACAATATCCAATATTTTAGGCGTGTAAGAAGTAATTAAGTATAAAGTTTCTGAATAATTGGTATAATTATTCATCTGTGAGCTTCGTAAAAACATCAGCAATGGAATATGTAGGAAAAATGTGCTCCTCTGCAGAGACAAAGACAGCTAATGTCCCAGTAATTGCCGTTGTAAAACAAAATTGTCCATATCAAGAGGCAGTTCTTTAAGCCAAGGTAGCAATCTGAGTTAACAGTCTTCAAAAAAACCCATTTTTAAACTTAGGGCAATTATGAGCTGCAGAAAAAAAAAGAAAAGAAAAGAAAAAAGCGCTGTCTGAATTTACAAATCTTTACATATTGTGAGGGCCTCTTCTGGCTTGAACTTCATTCAGCACCCATTTCTGCTGCAAATACGGCATTGATTTTGCTGGGGGCCAAGGCAGGTACCCTGAGGATCCCACTGAAAGAATGCGCAAAATAGAGACAAATGTTTTTTTGCCTATTTTTTTTCTGCCATCATCCTAAAAAGAGGGCTAAAGAAAGGCTGCAGCTCCACAGCACTGAAGTCATCAGGAGGCAGCAACAGCTAGAAGTGAGAGATTTCAGGGAAAAAAGGGTCCCCCAGACATCAAAATATCCCTTAACAGCTCTGTGTATCTGGCTTAATTGTACGGTGTAAGTGGTTTTTCTATCATTTTAATGCTGCTATGCTTGCTTTTCACCGATGACCAATAAGCTGAAACGCCAGCATTGGCTTTTATATCTTTACTGACCGTGTTACAATTATGGATAGATTTTCCTCCTCCAGTTAGGACTGTCTGTCACTCTGGATGACATTCCTCCGACAGCTCCCTGCACACCTCCATCAGAGGCGAAGGGAACAACTCCTGCCGTACTTTCAAGCTCTGCCTCCTCCAGTGACACACAGTAGCTGACCCTGTGTGGATTCACAGCCTGCTGAAAGGAAAAGGGTTATTTTAAGCCATTTTCAGCCAGTCAGTCTGGCTAATCTGTTAACTCCGCACTGCAAGGAACAAGCGCGCAGGCACAGGGTCAGTCCCACTTGAGTGTGGAGCACAAGATGAGGGTGGGACAGTTAATCATCATCATTTGAGGTCCTCTGCCATCACCCTGAATATCCAAATCACCTCCAAAATGAAACACGGAAGGGTGCTTTTGTTTTTGAAAATGTTAACATTCTCTATCAGATGACAACCACGTTACCTTACCCTACTTTTTTTTTAACTCTTATACTCTTAAACTGAACACAAGAGAAAAATATCATGCAACCTATTTTTTTTTGTCTTATTCTTTGTGTTCCCCATGAAATAGTGATTTGAAGTTTCTTTTCTTTTTTCCTCATACATTGCTAGCAGTGAATTTTGGGACAAACTCTGTTCTGCTTTGTTATTACCAACAGGTAATTTAGAATTTAAAGTGTTCATAATAGGACTAGGGAGCTTGTAAGTATGTTGGAAAAGAGTGATCTTTCTTAGCCACTTGAGAGCATACTGTGTCTCCAGTCTAATTCTGCGACAGCTTCATAAAAAAATAAAGGGTATGAATCTACTAGAACCTTATTCAAGCAAAGCCCTTAAGTGCATTATGCATTTAAAACACTGAGACCAAATGTCCTTAAGTGCTTTGCTGTATTCAAGTCATAACGATTATTATAGTAATTAGTGTATGCTCTTATATCTTGCGAGTGCATGCATTTAGTGGCTATTTATTCAAATAAACTGATTAATAACATTTACAGTGAGAAAAGGAAATATAATTAGCTTTAATGCAGTGAAAACACATTTTACTGTAAAAAAAACATCCCTCCCCATGTAACAAACTTGGTATAACCATTAGTATGGGTAAGTTTTTTCCATGCATATCCCTGTGTATGTTTAATAATTGACAGAAAATCTGACCTGTGAGAGGATTTGGAAGTTCTCTGAGTGCTTTTTTCTGGCAGTTTCTTGGAACAGCATTGATCTGAGGAAATACCTCAAACAGAAAACAGGTAGGGTTTCAAAAGCAGCTTCTGTCCCATTTTTTGCCTCTGGGTCTGAGCATCCAGGCTTCATGGGTCTTGGACTATCCCTCTATTTTGACAGTTGTTGTGACCCCCAGTTCTTTCAGACTGTTTTCCTCCAGCCTGGAACCCAGGATCATTGAGATCCTGAGTCCCATGTACACTTCACAGACACAGAGCTGGAAAATGTGTACGTTTCAGGTGGCACTTGACTCCTCATGGCTTGAAATCAGTATTTTCCATGCTGGGAGCTTCCCTCTCCGTCAGCTTCCAAGACTGACTTTAACCCCTGAAACTGCCTGTTGTTATTACAAATTTGCAGAGGGAGGGAAAGGAAATGCCTTTTAAGTTTAAAATGTTCTAACTTTAATTCTTCTTTCAAATATTTCTCCCAAGTTTCTCATATAACCAGATTAGTATTTTGACTTTAACAGTGACAGCACAGGAGCATGAATAAGCTTTTATTTTTGTCTTTATTTTTTTTTCCTGAGCATTCATAGATTAGGTAAACACTGTAAATTCTTTTACTGATTTGATAATCTGTTTTCCTTATTTACTCGGTGATACACAAGACTCTGAAGCACATCTGGGTTTGTTCTCACTAGCGTACTTTGTTAAAGTCTCATTTATGTACTGTTGTCTTAAGTTATGACTCTTCAGTGGCAAGTTAGGAGTCAAGAACTTAAAATTCTTTTACAAGCAGGCAATTTAAAATATGAATTTTGAAATTTCCGTTTAATAGTTAGCTGATAGTATTTCCTTCCTTCCTTAGACCTAATCCCTAATAAATTAAACTGGCCAACGTATAAAATGTGGCAGTTCTGAAGAGTGTATTATACAAAAATCTGCAAGCATATATTTTTGAGGTGTTGCATTAAGAAATTGTAAGATTCTCAGTAGGGTTTATGGACAATATCAATTTCCTTGGTGTATGTTGGTGTGCTTTATAAAATAGGAAAAGACTATAATATTGTTGGAAACATGTTGAAATCTCAGTTTTGTACAATACATCATGCTTAGAAACTAGATTTATTTGCAAATGTATTGGTCCAATTAATCTCAAGTAGGAAAAAATCACAATCAAGAAACAGCAATTGCAAAAAAGACACAGTTATGTTATCATCTTGATGATTTTCCATAGTATATTTTCACACAAGTATGATTTTAGATTTAAATAAGATAACCATAACGCACAGTTACCTATAAACTAAATATACATTGTTTTCTTCTGCTGCATCAGTAATATGAACTTCTCTTGAGTATGTAGGGTCTTCTAGCTTTGTTCACATGTAGCTGCCGTTTCAGAATATAGGGATTTTTTCTTTTCATTATTTCCTTGTCTTGGCTTGAGTTCTCTAGATCAAAAGCATCTTGCTGAAGTAACTGTAAGATGCAAGAAGAGACACAACGTTATCAGCTTTTTTTTTGTAATGAACATTATCAATTCCTAGAAAGTTTTATAAAACTTTATTTTAACATCTGCCACCAAGAAAAACCTTTACCATAATAGTTGAGGATTTAAAAAAAAAAAGGAAGAAAACAAAAAAGCCCAAAACTCAAGACACAAAACTAAGATCAGGCTGAAGATGAGCTGAATCCTACAGAGGCGATATTTAAATTCCATTGAAACAGATGAGATCATTGGTTTTCACGAGAGAGAAAAGCTGGTATATATGTCCTCCTTGGACTGAAACTCAAATTGTCTGAAAACTTCCTAATGATTGTCACTCTGTAATCACTCCTTTAGGCTAAACACCTCCTAAAACACCCACTGCTTGCTGGTTTCAGCTTTTGAGCAGTATTTTTATCTGCGACTTCCTACAGCTAAAAAATCAACATGTGTAATAAACAAATAAGAAATGAAATAAAGCACAAGAAAGCCAAAATTTTGTCAATCAAAATCTCTTATACAACTATGTTTTGAGTTTTACTTGGAGTTTTTAAAGTATTTTGTTCAGATTTGTTCTTGCTTTATCTGTTAAGATTTCATCCATTCTCTCACCATGTTCTTCCATGGTCAATTACAGTCCTACTGTCTGGCTGAAAGGCATTACACTGAAAACATTTTTATATTCACCTCAGTATTTCCCTAAGCAATCAAAGTCTGTTACTCACTTAATTACTTAATAAATGAGTGCTCATCTAAATTCTATTGAAATGAATGGAAAGACTCTCATGGTTTCAACAGCCTTTGGAGTCAATCCTGGATGTATAAGATCACAAGAACTTCTTTCATTACACAAATTGTTTATTTCAAGCCTTCTTCAATTCTTCTCCCTATGGCTCTATCCCTTCGTCTTTTCTTGTGTCTTGTAAAACTCTGCACTTCCTAAGCTGAAAGAGGAATATTTTATTTCAATTTCACATGCAATACTGCTAGGAGTGATGATTCCCGACCACCACAAGAGCTGATGCAACTGCAAAGTAAGAAACTGTGATTAAGTCATATGGGCTATTGCACAGAGTCAGTTCTATAGTAGCTCCTTTTCAGCAATAAACGTACTGCTGGACAGAGTCCTCAGAAAATTCAGGCTCTCAAAGATGTTGCAGTCTTTGTATGGACCATCCCAGCTAATATAAAGGATTGAGAATAAGCCTGCAAATACAGGGCTGTGATTCAGCTAACAAAAGAAGATCAAGGTTCAGCCAGACTGTCCACGAACCTGTGATAGCTGAAGAAACTGGGTTTACTGGAAAGTGGGTAGTGACGCTGAGATATCTTTTCCCACTGGGCAAAGCAGCTTTTAGTGTAATATGTAACAACACAAGTGGATTGTGCCCAGTGTGCCTCTGTGTGATCATTGCACTAAGATAAATATCACAAATGGACTATAAACAATCACTATTTAAGAGCAGCAAACCTCATACAATCATGTCAACTTCCAGGGCCCTCTTTAGGTGTGGGGAAGCAAGAGTTCCCTTGCTACCGGTTTCCTAGCAATGACAAGAAGCCCAGAGTACCTGGTAGAATTACATGTACACATGGGCATGTGTCCATGCATTTTGAATCCAGTTTGCCATAGGGCCTTGAAAAGGTTTTCAGAAACTCTGTCTATATTTAGTTATGCCTCAATAAATCTGCAGTAACTTCATGTCTGTGAAGCAGATACTAATTTTGTGTTCTGGCATAGAGCTCACTTTCATGTGTTTGGTTCCTTGGAATGGCCACAAAGAGTGGAGAAAGTATGTAGTTAAGAATAGTTCTCATTTATCCATGGGTTGTTATAAAAAACAGACACTCAGCTCATCACAAACTATATTAATTCACAACTATTTCAATAAGAGGCATATTAGAGGTATTAGAGAATATAAAAAAAGGGAAGGAAAGCTCAGGCAATGTGACAGGGGTCATCTAGAGATGGATTTTAAAACATCACTACGAACAGAGCCTGAGAATTTAACAGCAGTTGATACATGCATTTGTGACAGTTTGTTTTACCTCCCAATGCTGAAAGGCTCTGCTGTGGCAGACTTTTTGGAGTTGATATACTGTCAGCATTGCTTCCAAGCTGAAGCCATCCAGAGCAGTAGGAAACTGTCTTCCTGAAACCAAATCCTCTTCATCTACTTCTACTGTTTCCCCCACTTGGTTGTTCATGTTGTTGAGAAGATTGCAGACATTTAGCAGGGTCATTTTCCAGTAAGGAAGTTTTGCTCTGTTAATCTGAAAATACAAATACCCACTATTTAACATGTTGCTATTTTTGTTTTGTTTTTTAGTAATAATGTGTGACATTCAAACATTTCGGTAGGAACAAGTTTGTGTGTTTGAAGTACTTTTCCTCTGCTCAACTTTTAGACAATAATTAGAGAGTGCTGAAATTAGGACAACTCATTTACTAAACACACCAAGTCTGCTTCCCCACAGCCTTACCCCCCAGGTAGATATACATGATGAAAAACTAAACTGCTACCAAACCAGAATGGTAGCATTTCATAGTCATTCTGCACAGGTGCAAACAAAAACACAGGTGGAAATTAATATAATATAAATTCACAGGTGTAAATCAGGACAATGAGTCAAACCCACTGGATAAATTCCCAGTGCTAGAATCCAAGGTGGATGCCTGTGGTTAACTAGACGCTCCTCTCCAGTTCAGAACAAATACCAGTCATTTCAAAATTCCCTGAGAAAAGGAACAGAGTCCCTGCTTCAGGGCAAGCTGTCTGATGAGGCTGGGTCTGAAGTTATGGAATCTGTAAGCCCCAGGAGTTTTGGATGCTGGAAAGTCACGAGCCTGGGAGATGTGAATCGACCTACAGGCTTAGATGAAGATGGAGCAAAGATGAAACAGAGCTGTGCAATATATTCCTGATTTGGTAACTGGACTGAAAAACTCAGACCAACTGTATTTAGGTGGTCCACAATGAACCTGTTCAGAGATGTTACAGGAAGACAGAAATAGAGAAATTTCACCATGGTTTGTCTCAAATTTTGCTTGCTCCAGTATCTTGCATGATTTAGGAGCTATTTAACTTTTACAACCTTTTAAAATATGTTGAGGAAAATAACCTTTACTTTACTACTGGTACTGTTCTTTCCAAGCAGTTGTGGCAGTAGTCTTCTTTCGTTTTGATTGTCAATAGAAAAAAGTAAGTGAAAAACCTAATTCCTACCTCATTCACTGCTTTTCATGTCTTTGCCGCTTTCTTGGTTCTCCCACTATTAATCACTTTTTTCAAATTGTATTTCTTTTAGTGGCGAGTATAGAAATTAGACTCCTTAAACTAGAACTGGTGACACAGCAATCTCCAATCAAAAGCCAAATAGCAAATTCCTATTTATTACTAGCAAGGGCTTCCTTGCTGTGCACGTTAAGATTACACTTGACCTATGAACTGAAATGTAGTTGCTTCTTTTCCTGGATGTGCAAAGTTAAATATAGTTATTACATTAACACAGACATTGCCTTTCACATACTGACAGCACTGATTAAGAGTGTGGATGCAGTGCCTACTTAGCTGAGCATTAGGTAATCACATAATCTGTTGTTTATTTAAAGCACCTTCCTAACAAAAGGACACTGTACGCAAGATTTATGCATATTCACCACACTTCACTATTTTTTGAGGGAAAGGAAAGAAAATGGAGAGGAGTGAGGAAGAAACAAGAAAAGCTGGCATCACTATTAGCATTAGTTACAAAAAATTCTCTTTTGGCCATAATTATTACTCCAATATACATCTGGTATATGCATCCCTGTCAAAATGAGAATAATTTAGCCCTTTAATAAAACCACCATGTGTTCTCAGATTCCTGACAGGGCTCAAGAAAAAAAAGAAGAAAAAAAAAAGAGAGTATTTTGTTTTGAGGCTAAGAAGAAAACAAATCTTGTATCTTATTCAGAAGCTTGAAATTGGTTCTGCATTGTTTACTTTGAGCTCATCTGTTGTCCCATCTAGGTGCCTTAATTAGCCTGTCGAATTATTTGAAAAGATGTGACAGGTTCAAAACAAAAATTAACTGCTTTGCAGAATGTCTAATTTAATTAACAGAAGTTAAACTAGCAAAAAGAGCAACTGTCCACTGCAATTTCAAAATCTTCTTTGGTCTCTTTTAAAATATTTGAGCAATATAAAAATACAGAACTTTCCATGACAAATGAGGAGGCTTTGGCAGCACACTTCTTTCTCCTGGGTATATGAAAGAAATGTGAGCTAGCAACTACAGTAGCTAAATTGCAATGAAGAATAAAATCTAGGGGCAATGCTACATGAGCAAGTGAGAGTTCTGAGTTAAAAAAAAACTAAAATATTCCACTAAATGGGAACAGAAGAGAAGAGGAAAGGAGAGGGAAATTTCTTATGCCTTCTTGCATAATTTATAGAATCTTTTTGATCTAAAGTTACTACTTCATGTTAGCCTGATGCATGTCTATGTTTAAAGGAACTTTCCTCTGTATTATTAGCAAAATACTTAAACTGCAGACTTCATTAGGTGAAATTGGTCTTAGCTGCTACTTATGAGGGTAAGAGAAAAAATTTTTGCAGTCCTGTCTGCAAACATATTTCATTTGTTAAGGGAGTCTAATTCCTATTAATACCGCACATATATCACCTCGAAGTATTTTTACTTGGGTACACCTGCTTCTGACTTATACTGCTGCCAGTTCATAGAATGAGACTATAAAACATTAAGAACTTCAGTCAAGAGTGAAATATGTTTTTTAACTGAACATGGAGCTCTCCAGGTCATGTCCAGTCACTGAACAGAGCAGTCATGTTACTTCTCTACTCCACTATTATAGCAAACATTACAATCAGAGAGCTTTGTTTTATAGGTTATGGAAAATCTCTGAGGCAGTTATCCTAAAGGAATGTGTGAAAATACAGTTTAAGATGACCATAACCCAAATGTTCAGGTACATTTCCAATGTGTGATATATTTTCCACAGAGGTCTAAGCAATACCAACTACAGTTGCTCAAGACATGTTTTGGAAAACACCTACACAAGAGATCAAGGAACCCGTATCTGCCAAGATGGAACTAATTTTTTTACGATTAACTTGAAAAATATCTGGGAGTGATCTGAAGGAACAAAAGACTCTGCAGTATGAGCTAGAATTTAAAAGTTATTAATGTTGAAGTGAGTATGATGTATGCATTTCCATTGTTGAACTTGCTTCCGAAGTAAGACTCAGATACATGGTTTTGCACACCTCATATATCTTGAAAGAGAATTTTAAAATATCTAAGAAACTGAAAGGAGCTTGAGAATATTTCATTCTTTGACAACAGGCTTGTCCTATGAAAGATTAAAGAGAATCCCAAGTTTGTAACTTACATGGTATCTTTTTCTTTCCATTTCTGGTTGAATGATACCCCTGATAGTTTGTTTAAGATAACTTCATCCATTATAATGCATACCTCCTGAATGCTTTTTTTTTTTTTTTAGAAAAAGAAAGTTAATTTCTCTGCTTTTTATATTCTTGTCTTTATCTAGTGAAAGCAGATGAAAAATAAATTCAGACCCAAGTAAAACCTGAGGTAATGTAGGATCTCTATGGTTCCTTTTCTGAACAGTATTTGAATTTTGTTCAGAATGTAACCGCAGAAATAATAAAAATACTCTCAGTCTTTAAGCAGATATGGTATTGAGTTCTGTTACAGCGGAAGTTCTTCCATGGTATAGACTAATGCCTGTAAATGTAATGAACTTTTACGTTCATTATGGAGTCAGTAACTCCCAGGCAGCTGGAACCTTGTCTGCCTCTGACAAGGAGGCTGAACTGTCTGGGCACATACAGTCAGCAACAGGCATCTTAGAACAGTAGGAAGCTCAGAGGGTCCAAGACTTTGGAAAATTAATGTGAGTGGGGATCCCAAAGGTGGAGTATATGCTAGTGATGACATATTCTTCAAGGAAACCCTTTTTTTTTTCTTTTTCTTTAACTAACATCATCTTAAATCTTGCTTGAGTTCAGGACATTCTTCATGCAAGTGGTGGTTTCAGGCAAGCATTTAGGAAGCTGGGAATAGAGCTATCTATTTGATACAAAAGAGAGACAGCAGATAACTGTCCGTGTATTCGTGACACTTCAAGTTGTGTTGTCTTACCAGATCTTCCAAATGGCTCTTTGGATTTTATCTTAGAGGAAAGACAAAAAAAGCATTTTAGGGACTCGTGTGATCCCTGTATCTTCTTTGAGATGTAACAGCAGGGAAGGGGATAAACTGTATAAAATGTTGAAGACAGGTTGTAATAAGCATGGACATACTTCTTTAAAGACGGAGAGTGATTCAGCATATAGATGACTTTAAAGAGCAGTTTGAAAAGGGCCAGTAGATGCTGGACAGAATGCTGCAAAAGGTGTGTGCTTAAATCCTAGCTGTAGTCTTGATACTCTACTTCACAAGTGCCTACTTAGGAAGATTTTTTCTGTCAAATACTAGAGCCACAAGTGATAATCCACTTTGCTGCATTTTTAGATATGAGCTTTCCCTTGCTGCTTATTACCAAGTCAGTGTCAAAGATGGTTAATGCAATTTAACAGTAATTGCCCTCAACTGGAACCAGATCTCAGGCACAATACAAGACAGTTATTACACATATCACCCTCAAATTTGTCTCTGACACCAGAACCATACTTTTGTTCTAATGAGGGCTAAAAGCTAAGAGAGAACAACAGAATTTGTCATTTCAGTAATGAATTTTAGATGGCAATTTAAGGCAGTATAATGTAGAAATAAAGCAAAGTCTCCACCATGCATCTACTGCTTCTGTCAGCTTCAGGTGTCACTTGACTTACGGTATATACCATGAGGAAAATTGAATAGCAAGCTACATGATGTAAAACAACATATAAGAGTATTATGGCAAAAATCATTACCTATCAACTGGTGCACTCTATTTGTGCATTTTTAGTTACCTGAGACTGTGCTCTGTGCTGAGAGGGAGGAAAAGATGGAAGTGGCAGTTAGGTTCACAGTTCCACTAAAGTCAGTAGCAGAAATACCAATAGCTGCAGGGTTTCCTCCCAGGGCACACTATGCTTTGTCACACAGAGAATGAACTATTTTTGTCAGCCTCCTACATTTAAATTCATCTCAGGAAAAGAATATCTATTAAATCTTTCTGTACCTTAGAAAAGCGAGTGGCAAACAGGTTTATTCCACACCTAAGGTTAATTACCATGCCAGTAAAGAACATGGGAACCTACGAACTGCCAGACCAGATCAAAACAATGTATTTTCTGGCTTCATTTCTTATTCTAGTCTATTCAAAGGATCCTGTGAAATAGCTCACATATAAGCAAATACAGTAAATACGGAAGTCTTCCAGACTGGTTTTGTCCTTAACCTTCAACTAGTCAATGGCTTATGAAATTCTTTTTTTGGGGAAATTTTTCACTCATCATTTTAATTTCCATTGAATTTAAGCACCACTTAAGCTTCATTAGAACAAAGAATTAAAACATTCAACCTTAAGCCCATGGCATTTGTTTCAGGGTTTGTTCTTTAGTATGTTGCTGAAGAAATATTAGACATATATATTTCTTAGATCATTCATGGTAAATAACAGTGTTGAGAAAGTGTTTTTCTATCAGCCTGTTCAATACATATGTGCAACACTTGCTGCTTCACCTTGCCAGTATGAGATTGGAACTGAAATTTTGTCTATTTTTATTAAATAACATGTACATTGCTCACAGTCTGGCAACTTGCCAAGGAAGTGTCATTTATCAGCTTAATATTTTCACAGTCATGTCCCCATGTTCCTGTACTAACACTATGATTGAATTCCTAAGTCAAAATCAGCATATGTATTAACAGTTTTTGCTTTATGACTGTCTTAGTTCTATATGCATATAGGAAAAGTTCTGCATAAAAATAGCACTTACGGATTTGACTCAAGGTTAATTTAGCTTTCATCAGGCATAATCCTATTGGAAACACATTTCCTCATATAAATTTACATCTCTGCACATAACACAGTTTTGACAGTTTAATGAAAGTACCAGTGTTACGAGCAAGGAGCACTTTTAGTGTGTCACATCAACACCTTTAAATTTCCTTTGAACTGGAGAAAATCTTGCACCAAAGTAATGTCTAGCACTGAACTTTTCGGTCTAGACCGTAGGTTATTACTTTGTGCAAAGACTTCTGAGTTTGTAATGAGAATTCATTTGCTCCCTACCCATCAACTAAAAGAGGAAAAATAATTACCTTTGATGTGTACATATTGGTCAATAAATCTGCTTCTAACGCTTTCATTTCCTCTTCTGAATCTGGGAATAAACCAGAAACATATGCTTATTGTTTCATCATAAATCACGGACATTTCAATTCAGCATACAGAATTTAGATATATCAATGAATTCTGAAAAACAAACAAACATGAAAACAAGCAACTTCTTAGATAAGAACACAGCAAAGTGATCTAGAGAGACTGTGAGGAGTCTTCAGGTAACAGCAACATTTTGTTAAAATGGATACTCACTACCTTTTTAAAGCATGATCAAACTTATTGAAGTGAATGAAACGATTCATTAATCTCAGTTCACTGGTAGACAGGCCCACTAATCTGCAGCCCTTTCAGTAAACAACACTGCTGCAAGATTCTTCATTCAAAATCAGTATGATTTTCATGATCACTATTTGTCACCTCTGCTTACTTTGGAAGATTTTGGATATTTATTTTCAAACAATATTTATTTAAGTAGCAGCTAAGTATTTAGGTGAATGGCAGTTATGATTACTTGACAAGATTTAGTCTTGATTATTCTTGGTTAAATTATGAGTATTTTTACTGATATGAGGGAATTGAGCTTGACCAGTTTGTGATACAAGCTCTTGACAATACATATACCAAAAGAAAGTATTCTGACTGAAAGTCTTAGGATTTTCTTTACTAATTTAATTGACCTTTGATAGCTCAGCAGACTTGCAAGACCTGTGATTTGATGAATAGGGTAAAAATTGCTGTAGAAAGAGAAAACACCCACAAACTTTTCGGCTTTGTGCGGCACAGAATGACAAGGAAAATCTGATGTCTTGAAAATGTAGCAGCAATCACAGCTCAAAGATGAGACGTATACAGAAATCAGTTAAGTTTTCAGGTGAAATAAAGTTCCACATGGCTTTTAGCTTTCCTGGAATACCAGCAGTCCAGAGCCAAACAATATGGTTACTTATATTTAAAACCAAACTAAACAAAAATCTACACCATATTCATATAAGTGATATCTTACTTCCATTAAAATGATCAATGCTCTTGGCATGTAACACCCTACCACAGAATCTGTGGATAGATTCTGCCTATGCCTTCACTTCAGGGATCATCACCAGGTTGTGTCACTACCATTCACAGAACACGAGACTGTAAGGGACCTTTTATACAAATATGTGCTAATCAGTCACAGATTTCTGCTAGCACAGGAAGCCAACCATTATAATGCTCTTAAAAATCAATCGTGTTCAATCTTAGTAACAAGATCTCACCACCACCACCACTATGTTTCTTCTTTGGGGCATTCTTCCAAACTATCAATGGTTAGTCACCGTCTTCTAATTTCAAGCCTAATTTATTTCTAATTACAAATTTATTAATGGTTTGTATATAACTTCCTTCACTATAAATTATACATTTCTATTTGTAATATTTACCAAACTCATGTATTTTTTGAGAGCAATCACAGCCCTTCCCAGCTTAGATTTTTAGGGTGCGCCTACAGAGTGATTAGCAAACAAATGCAAGATCCCTGTGCCTTTTGGACACAAACCATTCCCCTGGAAATCCCATAAATACTTCATTGAAAGGCTATGCCCAGAGCTATTAGACTCTCATCTATTCTCCTCTCTTGTAATAGCCTTGTATTCCCCAGCTCATCAGAGTGGCCCTCCTCTGTGCCTGATGTGATCTCAAGGCAGCACAGCATAGTACAGTTTGGATCAGAAGCCTCAGTACTTAACCACCTTAATGCTTACCATTAGCTACAGGAAGTAGCTCTCTTACACATTTTTTGATTTTGTTTGTCTTTCATGGCTGAAAAACTTTAGTATCTCATTAAAAAAAATTAGGTCAGATAATATGACCAAGTCTTTTATCTCCTCAGACGTTTCCAACAGCTGTGCTTCTGTTAAAAGGAGCTTTTAATAGGAACTTCTGTTATTTCCTAAGTTGCTGCATTTTGTACTGTTGCACTGCTGCTCGTTTCTATTATTCAGGTCATCAAACACTTCTGGGCGTTATGCCGATCTTCCTCTGTAGTGATGCTCCTGTTTGCATTACCAGCACACTACATTCATTCATTCATTCCTACTTTTTGCATTGAAGTTGTTATTGAAAATACTCAGTAAGACTGGTTTGTAGATCAGTATTACAGCAAGTCACCAGCAACTAATCTCCAACTTAATGCCTTTCAGCGCTACTCGTTGTCAGTGTTACCTAATCTCTTAATCATTTTACCATTAGCCGAAGTTCTGCCGGCAGCACAGGATCACCTCAGCTGAATTTCTACTAATGATAGCAGCAGCTCCTGTGAATGAGTGAGATGCATGACAGCATCATGATTTGTGATGTCCTGGGTTGTACCAGCTGAGGACAATGAAAGTTGTGGTGTCTGGTTAGCCCCTGGTTTTTAGATTCTATAGAGGATGAAAGATAGCTTCCACACCATCGAGGTTGGAAGATAGCTGCAGATTGAAGATAAATAGGTATTGAGGTATTATTATTTCTCATTTTGATTGAGAAAAGAAGTCTGGAGGATATTATTTAGGAGGCTGGTCAAGATTCCTCGAGTGAAGAATAAAGCAAGGCTTGGAGGAGGAGAAGGGAGCACATCCAGGTAATTCAGGAATGAAAGAGACAGATGAGGAATAAAAGCATAAAAAGAGCAGACTCTCAGAAAGCAGAGTATAAAAAGTCTGGTTACACATTATTGTTCAGATCAGGACATTCACACAGTTTGATGTCCTCTTGATTCACTTCTTATTGACAAGAAATATAGCTTCTATTCAGATATTCACGTTCTACAGGAACAGTTACAATCTACAGGTACACACTTTCCCCTGAGGGCAAACATTTTCAAAAGAAACTTAAAATGAATGATTGCTTTCTTTATGACATTAACTGTCCATAGTAGTTAAAACTGATTTGGCCCCTCCACACAAGCTTCTCCATGGCATTTCTCATTTAAATATAATTTCAAATTTTCAAGGAAATAAACCATCATGTCAGTTAACACATACAATTTTGTTTCTGTTTGTTTTTTTTTAATAAGCCTATTTTAATTTCCACTGAAGTTTTTTACTTTAATGGGCTTTCATTCAGGCTCTACAAACAGTTGAATTTGAAACTGCCTCACTGAAAATACTAGCCAAGTATTTGTTTAAAAAGCTTCAAATATACAGGGAGAAAATAAGAAATATTAAGCCTTGTCACTAAGGTCACCAGTTCTCTATGATATACAGAATGACTATGTTTAAACTGTGGTAAATTGCAGGTATTACGTGTTCTACATTTTTCTTCTGCAGGGGAATACAAATTAGAAACTTTCATCTAAAGTGAGAATTAGGAATTCTGAGTCCTGCTGAATACTGAAGGTGAATAAATGAAGCTACTTGTAGATTTACTCTGTAAATTTTGTGGCGTTAAAAATTCAAGTAATTTGCAAGTTAGTCAAGATTGGATTTTGAAGCCCATTCTGCTTCATGTCTGTGTGCGTACACCTGTCTCATCACCACCATACCTATTTTTGGTCATAAACTTAGGGCATAAATGACACACACTTAGCTGTGTCATTTTGCAAAGGAGCAGGCAATGCATTTTAATGTATGGTCCTCTTGGAGCAGAAATGCGCTTACATTAACCTTCCTATTGTGTGCCCTACACCTGATTCAGCATTTTTTGGCCGTAATTTCAGATCAGATGCTAGCATTTTTCCCCCCCGAATACAAAAATTGCACTTCTGTCACTAAGAAGTGACTAAAGCCCATTTATACCCGTGTTGATTGGGATCACGGCAGCCACGCACGCGAGTTGCGGAAACTACAATTGCCGTGACGGTCTGGAAATACCTGGTATGCAATCAATCACCAACGCGGCAGCGTAATCAGGCAGACGGTCTGCACTGATTCATCTTTGCAATGCCTAGTCTCCGCTAACCGCCACGGCAGGATGCTGCCCGGGGGAGCGGTTCCTCTGAAGGCAGAAAGTTACGGGACTCCTACAAAACCCCGTTCACCCGGGCCAGCTCCTCGGCGCACCGCCGCCTAAGAGCCGCGGTGGCCCGAAACGACTTCACCTCCTTTCCGCAGATCCGGGCGTCCGGGGGACTTGGGCGGCGGGCGGCGAGCGCTCAGCCCGCTGCGGGGGGGGACGGGACTTACCTGAGCAGAGGCTGCAGGAGGCCAAAGCCAGCAGCACCACGCACACCAGCTGGGCTCTCATCCTTGCCGCGCCGCCCTCTAGAAAGTAAAGTCCATAAATCCTGGGGAGAGACGGAGAGACAGACAGACAGACAGACACAGAGACCCCCCGCGCCCCCCTCAGCACGCTCGCTGGCACCAAGACGGGGGGACCCGGACCCTTCCCCAACTATATAAGCCGCGGGGTGATGTCACGGCGGTGCCGCCATCGCCTCCTGATGAAGTTCCCTCCCTCACC